TTTTTTTTTTTTTTTTTTTAGAATCTTGCTGCGGACAATTCACAAATGAGAATTCACAAATGAAAATTCACAAGGGCCTGTGGATGAGATGAGGCCTGACGAGAAATCTCTGATTTTAGGACGAGAAAGATTGCAAAAATCACAGATCAATCAGATTGATCGGGAAAAATAAAGCAAATAAATTTATCAGATTTATCAGAAAAAAATTGAGTCGAATATGTCTCTGATACCATGATATGAGAGAGAGACGACACAATGTTTTGGGGGTGAAAATCATCTCAATCGGATGATACAACTCTCTATAAATCAAGAATATATACACAAAATTAGGGCTACGGATAACCTAAAGCTAATACGGTAAATGCACAAATATACACAATAACAAAATCCATAAAAGTTTTTACAATAACAGGAATTTGAGAATTTATCAAAGTTTTATTACTTTATACGTTATCCTATCTTTAAAATTAACTTTCACAATAATTTACATAACCTGTATCAAACTATATTTCAAAATTGTTAGTGTTAGAATATCACTTGTGAGTTGTCCCACATCGTTCATACATAGAAAATAGACCCACCTTATAAGTCTAATGAGCTACTCCTCCTTCCACCAATTGGTTTTGGGATGGAACCCCACTTGGACTTCATTTGAGCTTTTCCCCCCTTTTGTGCGTTTCATGTTAGTGGGACCACACTCGTTTTTCCCCAAGTTTCTTACATGATATCAGAGCCGGTTCTATTGGGACTGTGCGGTGACGTACCCGTTTATGAGAGTCCGCTTCCCCACGTACCCGTTTATTCTTACATGGTATCAGAGCCGGTTCTATTGGGACCGTGCGATGACGTACCCGTTTATGAGAGTCCGCTTCCCCACGTACCCGTTTATTCTTACATGGTATCAGAACCGGTTCTATTGGGACAGTGCGATGACGTACCCGTTTATGAGAGTCCGCTTCCCCACGTACCCGTTTATTCTTACATGGTATCAGAGCCGGTTCTATTGGGACCGTGCGATGACGTACTCGTTTATGAGAGTCTGCTTCCCCACGTACCCGTTTATGGGAGTCTACTTCTAGTAGGCTTGGGGCACCCAGTTGGGCTTGGGCTTCTCGCATCCGTTTATGGGAGTTTATGGGAATCTGCTTCCCCACGTACCCGTTTATGGGAGTCTACTTCTAGTAGGCTTGGGGCATCCAATTGGGCTTGAGTTTCCGAAGGACTCACAAGTGAGGGGACGCGTTAGAATATCACTTGTGAGTTGTCCCACATCGTTCATACATGAAAAATAGACCCACCTTATAAGTCTAATGGGCTACTCCTCTTTCCACCAATTGGTTTTGGAATGGAACCCCACTTAGGGTTCATTTGAGCTTTTCTCCCCTTTGGTGCGTTTCATGTTAGTGGGACCACACTTGTTTTTCCGTGAGTTTCTTACAGTTAGGTAATATTTTACCACAACCCGAGGATTTTTCTGTCTGGCTTCGTTTTATATCTACCCGAATGTCGGTCTGAAGCCACTTATTCAATGATTTAGGTCCTCTTCCGTTGACAATAAATAATAATATAAATAATAAATATATAAAAAAAAAAAAAAAATCCGTGTTTCTTGTGGAGTGCTAACCGTATAACCTGCCACGACAACTTGCCTTGGGCTGGGCCTTCCCCGCTGCTTCCCATCTTTCTGGAAAATAGCGGCCCATTTGCCGCCCCAAAATTTATTTAAATTTTAAACAATAATAATAATAATAATAAAAGTCAACATCCGATTTCCAAACACGCGTTCTTCTACAAACCTATATATATATATAAGCGCAATCAATATAATCTTGCATTCATTCCACAAACTCAATTCTCTTCATAAAACCATATTAACTAACAGAACTAACTTAAAAAAGACAAATATCAAATGGAGAGGCACGAGCAGTACGAGCGCGTCTTCAGCCGCTTCGACTCGAACGGCGACGGCAGGATCTGCCCCGAGGAGCTCCGGCGGTGCGTCGGCTCGATCGGAGGCGAGATGACGGCAGCTGAGGCGGAGGCCGCGGTGGCGCTGATGGACTCCGATGGGGACGGACTCCTCTGCCTGGACGACTTCCTCAGGATTGTGGAAGGCGCCGGGGATGAGGAGAAGGCGGGAGATCTGAAGGCGGCGTTCCAAATGTATGTGCAGGAGGGAGGCGCGTGCATAACGCCCAAGAGCCTGAGGAGGATGCTGTCCAGGCTGGGGGAGAGGAAGAGCGTGGGCGAGTGCAGTAATATGATCGCTCGATTTGATCTCGACGGCGATGGAGTTCTCAGCTACGATGAGTTCAGGCTCATGATGTCTT